GAGGGGCGACGCACGTCGAGACAGCGGTGAAGGCTGCCACAGATGGATTTTTCACTTCGACCATTATCAAGATATTGGATCATGCAAGACTGCAATCAAGTTAGCTCACCGTGAAGCATTCGCATCCTCTCCAGATGCGGTCACTGATGCTGTGGCCGCCGGCGCTGTCAGAGCAAATCTTCGTACAGAGCCGCTGGCTTATGCAGTCGTCATCAACAAGATCGCTATTCGTCAAGATGATGCAGGAATTCTCGAGTTTTTCTACTTATAGCTCTCATAATATCAAGTAACGTATCCTGATTCTTCCGATTGAGTGCCGGTCTGTCGTGGAGCGGCAGCGGTGGCAAAACGTTGTCCTAAAAAGCATCAACAATGAATTCATGAGATGCCACCATGAAATCATGATTCAATTGGACAAAGATATTCTGCGGGAACGCGACATCCACTGATCTATATCATCGCTTGGAAAAACAGTAGTTTCTTCACGACACGCTAATTTATTTTATCGCTTTGCTCAAAATGCCAGGTTGGGACATTTTCTGAAAAAGCTATTAACATATATTTTGGACATTGACTAGCTGAAGTTCTTGTCAATTTCAATAAAAATTACCAATGGTTTGTTATTTGTTATTTTACTCGTTCGTTGTGTAATAAGAATATGCATCCATCAAAATGTACATGCAACTAGTGATACGGAGGTCAGATTGTGTCCCTCCGTCAGTGCTGCAGCAGAAGCTATACGGAGGTTTGTGAGTGGTTGTTGTTGCTTGTGGGTGGTACGCTAGCACTGAAGCCAAGCACTAAAGCCATGTTTCAGTCATCAAGCAAAGTGCGAACCTTTCTTAAGCGAAGCTCGAGTGCGCGCAAGAGGGTATTCACATTCTTCTGATCATCAATGGCTAACGTATTGCCTCTAGCCCCTGACGAATCCAAAAGCAAGCTCTCCAGCAAGAGTAGGGCTTGCAGATAGTGATCATGTGCAGCTTGAATTTGACCCAGAACTTCGCGAATAGCTCCCTGGCGTCCAATACGAAGCGCGTGAGAGTACAGCAGCTCCTCTTGAGAAGCAATCGACTGAAACGAAAAACGGAAACGTGCAGCGTGAGCCATTTGCACCTTGCATTGCTCCGCGCGATCCAAATAATGCGTTAATTGTTCGGATAGAAAAGCCATCGAAATCCTCCGACTCGTGTCACTTCGTCTGTATATATCTCCTGCTTCGGATGCTCCAGATGATTCAATTGAGCCGCCAGGAACTTGACTGAAGCGAAAGAACACTACAACGCTCTGTACAAGCCGTAAACACTTGACATACAACACCAAAGCCTCGGCGGCAAGCATGTACTGACGTTCAGCCTTGTGCCTTTCGACTTCGTACTCGTCATCATCACCATCATAATCGTCAGCAAGAGTATGACTTACACCAATTGAAGAGGCCAAAGACGAGCTCAAAGAAAACACAGTCGAGAAATTGCCACAACCAGCGCGTTTATCGCCTGACGTCGATGATGATGACTTCCCTTTACCTCCAGGCTGTATAGACAAATCCCCATGGCCTGACAGAACATCGGCATGTTCGATTGTGCAATTTAAAGATACATCGCCCCCTGTACTCAATTCCCACAGTCGATCTGCAAGCGGAGCAATGGCTTGCGTGCGCAATATCAAAATGTCGATAAGCTGTTGTCTATACTCACGAGTGTATAACTCAGCAGGCACATCTGAGCGGTCAGTGGGAGTCGCTGATTTTGCCACCAACTCTCCCTGACAGCAAATGGAAGGTAAAGCGCTATTTTTGTCTCCTTCCTGATGCCTTGCGGCTTCATTATTGACAACACGTTCTAATAACTCTTCAACGAGGACATACTCGCCACTGCTGTCAAGGGCGTGCCCACCACCAGCAATTTGCTTCAACTTTGTTGTTCCAGCCGCATCACTCTGGCCTGACTGAGAAAAAAATACATTTTTGGTCCGTGACGAACCACAAAGCGAGTTTTGCTGCTGCAGCTTTAGCGCAGTGGTACATGGAGGGGACTCTGTTAGCTGTTTGAACGGGTTGATTCTTGGACTCGGACCAGGCACAATGAGTGGACTAATTTGAGGGCTAAGCTTTGGACTTGTGCCTTGAGTGGTCCATGCGAGCCCGCTTCCGCTAGACGAGGTGCGTCGACTTCGTGCGAGTCGTGAGGACGATGACCGGCGCATACCTCCAGTTCCCGAACTAGCG